CACTGAACTTTGAACTAAAGAAAAAGCATGTTCACGGGTTCTACTGAGTGAACAAGGCATCAATTTATCTGCACCAGCTGGTGTCTGTCCCACACTGAAGAGTGTCATTCACTCTTAATTCATGCCCTTACATGGCATTTGTCATAGGCCTGTCCATTTAATGAAAATAGTCTGAAATACCAGAGACCTATCTTGGATTCTATCTACTTTATGTCACTAATGTTCACAACTGTAATTATTTCATAAGGAAATTGGCCTTCCTTATGGCACTACCCAGAATATCTTAAACACCACCCCCTCAAAGGAGAGTCTGCATTTAAAACCCTGGATTCTTAATATCAGTATCATTAACACTCTTGGGGTTAGGAAAGATCTTTGTTCTTAAAGGTTAATTAAAGACACTACTTGCAAATACACAGCTGATTGGATATATTCTGTTGTTTCGATATGAAAATCTGCCACTTATGCATCTATACAGGAATCCAGAGTTACAGAAAAGTGTCTAGGCAAGGAAATATCAATGTCCAGGACTTGCAGGTTATTATACGCTGTGGTAAGTTCCATTATAACATCAACCAAGGAAGGAACACTGAACACAAGATAACTTTGACAGTTGCCAGCTAACCTTCCTTTTAACCAGTAAGTATCAGGACCGCACTGGCCCATCTGTAAGATATATGCATGTCACCTAAAGACAGACTCTGAGTTCTAAAGTCAATAGGTATTTTGTCTTATAATATTCAAATCTACCAACAAAGACTCAAGCCGAACACATGATGTAGCACTATTTATTAAGGAGGTCAGTTTTCAACTTGATATCAAGTTTACTCCATTAAGCCCAGGGATTCTGGTACTTCTTCATTTATAGGATACATGTGTACAGTTAGTAGAGGTCTGTTCCTTTTCAATGCCCCAACAACTAATAATCCCTGTAGATATCTGCAAGGCTTTGATTACAGGTATGGGTTCTCGACATCGAAATCCCCCATTCATGGGCAAAGATTATAGTAAGAAGCTAGAGATTGGCCTCTGATCTCTGATCATGGAGTCATTTTGGCATATCATATAGCACATTACTATGGTAATAGGATATCTCAAAGACTGTTAAGTGCATTCAGACGACCTCCTTCCCCAGGTATTCATGCAGTCAAGACATACGTGCTATTGTAACACTAGTGGAAAGACCTAGATCAAAGAATACTTAGGTGGAGCAAGTGTGAGTCCATTTCCTACATTCCTCACTTTGTGAATCATCCTGGGTACACTGATAGATAATTATGATCAGGAGCCTGGGGTATTTTCCCTCTATAGAAGGAAGGACGGAGTATATGCATGCATCTGGTTTCTTCCCACACTTCTCACTTGCCTTCACATTAATAAGACCTGCATAAGTGGCTTGACGCCTCTCTCAGTCCCCTCCAGATCCATCTACTTGTTCTCCGACAAGCATTCTCCTCAGCCATTCACATTACTCACTTAGTGAACATCAGGTTCAATCTGTACCTCAGACTACAGATCCAGAATAAATTTGGAAGTAATTAAGTTTTTATATGCTTATACAAACCCCATTTAGAGATATGAAGATCATATAATTTTGGAAAGTATATCTTATATTTCAACTTTACCCCATAAGACTATTTTAGATGAATAGATGTGCACTTACAAAGTTTATTATATGTCTCAGCATCATTTCTGAAGTTTTCTGATAACCAAGTTGCCAACTCACATTGCTTAGGACAATGTCCCAGGTTCCCATATTCTAGTAATCACATCCCAATATGTATGTTTGACAATTCTTTCTGGTTTCTGGCTCATATAAACTCTTGACTTTCTGAGTATAATTACTTACTCATTTCCCTGTCAACATTTTCATACTACTTCAGAAAGTCCATTGCTTCATCAGTAGATGAGACCAAGGCAAAAATAATCTCAAACTTGAAGATAGGGCTTTTGAAATTATCTAGTCAGAGAATACACACATTGATTTAAAACTCTCCTATACCAGTGGTTCTCAACCTTCCTAATGCTGCCATCCTTTAGTACAGTTCCTCATGCTGTGGTGACCTCCAACCATAAAATTTCCTTGCTTCTTCATAGCTGTAATTTTACTGCATTTATGAATCATAATGTAAGTATCTGATATGCAAAGGATCTTAGGTGACCCCTGTGAAAGGGTCATTTGACCTCTAAAGGGATCACAACCCACAGGTTGAGAACCACTGCCCTATAGTTTCAACTCAGATTTCCTCCAAAAGTACATAGTTAAACTGTTAAGATGTTGAAGGCAGTATTATTTAAAGCAGCCCAAGTGAAATGCAAGTCCTGTAACTGACTCTCCACTGTACTGTCAGTTACCTCTTAGCACAACCCATATAGGGCAGGACTGAGTGACACAGTATATACACATTACTAAAAAACACTAGTGGCCAGTTAAACAAAGAGGTCATAAAATGTGAGAAAAAAATCAGGTACACACAAGCAAAAACTCATATAAGTCAGTGATAAACTGTTGCCTAATATATGAGTAGTTCTAGGGTCAATCACCTATACTGAAAAAAAAAAGATATGTGTTCACTATGTCAAGATTATAATCAATAATGAAAAGACTCTTTACTGAAGAACAGTCTATGAAAATGCACGAACAATTCTGGATTCTGGATGTAGCTCAGTTGGTAGAGTAATTACCTAGCATGCATGCAAAAAAAACCCTGTGTTCAAACCTTATCACCACAAAAAATTATGAATATAAAACTTTTAAGTGTAGACTGCGTTTTCCTGTGCCAGCAGCTGATCCCAAATAACCACTCAGAATCTTATTATTTATAAATGCTCAGTCAATAGCTCAGTCTTGCTACTAGCTAACTCTTAGATTTTAAATGATCCCATATTTCTTATCTGTACTCTGCTACATGGTTCATGACTTCTTAGCTCATTTACACATCCTGCTTCGTCTTTATCTGCTGGCATCTCCTCTGACTCTGCTCCTCTTCTTCCTAGTCCTTAGTTTGGTTGTCCTGCCCACCCCATAGTCTGTCCTGGCTACTGGTCAATCAACTTTTTATTAACAATGAGACCAATACATTTTCACAGTGTACAGAATTATTTCACATCATATAAGAACACAGATAAGGAATTAATTCTGACCTCATAAATGGAAGAAAAGAGAAAGTCACATACTAAACACTGAAAATGAATAATGGGAGTCATAGGAAAAGACCCTCATCAAAACGAACTTGATTTGGATAAAACCCTATAATGAAGAAAGACTGAATGAATGAGAGGATATCCAACTGTATACTGCCTACAAGATACTCACTTCACTGGCAAAAAGCACATACAGTAAATGTGATTTGACCAAAAAGGTATTGCAAACCAACAGAAATCAAAATGCAAGGAATTTAAGAATAACTCTCCTGGGAATCCAGCATGGGACTGATCAAGACCCCCTGAATCTGGGTGTCAGTGAGGAGGCCTAGGGAATCTATTGAGCCTTGGGCAGCAAGCAGATCAGTACCCATCCCAAGTATACACACGGACTTTGGACTCCCATAGAACAATGTGAGGTGCACTCTCACCCTGAACTCTTGGGGAAGGGTCTAGGCCCTGCCCTATATGAAATGACAGACTATGCACACCCCCATGGAGGGCCTCACCCTCCCTGGGGAAATGAGGGGATAAGGGGGGGGTGGGGGAGGGCACGGGAGGAAGGGAGGGAATGGGAGAGGGACCTGGAACTGACTTGTGAAGCAACCTTGTTTCTTACCTCAATTTAAACTGGAAAATAAAATTAAAAAAAAAGAATAACTCTCTAAAGAAGGAAAAAGAAGAACACTGTACAGTAAAGGTATTAACTTATCAAGAAGTAATGATTATAAATATACTTTATCCAACCTTCACACATACAAATATATAAAACAAATGTTTTTGTTTTGAAGACTTAAATGTACATCCCGAATTTAAAAAAGGGAGCTAAACTATACAACAGATCAAAATGTAGATAAGAGATAGGTATCAATGCTGTCTCATGAACACATAGACCATTCTCTAGGTAAGAGTATTGTAGGCCATAAAACTTTTTTAACAATTTAATACATTTTAATTAAAATATGATTAGATCACTTACCCCTTCCATTTTCCCTTCAAGGTTATTAAGTCCCCTTCCTCCAACTCCTTCCTTGTCCCCCCAACTCTCAAACTGATAGAATCTTTGTCCCTGACTATTAATGTTACACACATGTATTATGTATATGCATACTCAAACATGTAAACACAACCTGCTGAGCCGGTTCATTAAAAATTTGTAAAAGCAGTTCTTGTATATTTTATAGCACTACATACCTACATTAAATAGTAGGAAGATTCCAAATGAACAATTGAACTCAAAATATTAGAAAATCAAGAATGAAATTAACATTAGATAGAAAGAAACAAAGGTCAGAGCAAAACTTTGATTAAACACTACACTATTAAGTAAAAAGTAGGATAATCAAACAGATGATCAATGAGAATAAAACATGAGAAAGGCCTTGAAAGTGTGTGGAAATAGAGACTTGCAAATCAACTAGTTAATGGGAAATGACTAGTTAAGTCCCCAGGTAAGGCTGTTTTTAAATAATCAGTTTTAACAAATCTACCACAAAAGATAAGTAACCAGTGCTCCCTCATGGAGTTAACCATGGGAGATAACCAAGGACATTGCTAGAAAAGCTGTGCTGGACTCCCTACCCATCGAATGCTGAGTCAACTCAACTCTCCTGACCTGATGAATATTGCTTGTCTAACGGCTTATTGAGGGAGAGTGCTCACACCTGGCTTTTTAAAGCCATCAAGTTTTAGGCTCTGACACCTAGTCACTCCAGTCACAATGGTTGACACCAGAAACCACTCAAGAAGAAACTTGAGGGAGAAAGGGGTTTATTTGGACAACTGTTCCTGACATGCATCCAGCATGGTATTGTGGGAAATGCATGGTGGAAAGAGTGCGAGAGGCCTGGCCTCACTGTGTGCAAACAGGAAGCAGAGAGATGAATGTGGTGCTCAATTTGATTTCTCTTTAATTCATTCCTGGTCTACGGCCCATTAGGTGTACCACTCCCATTGAAGATGGCTCACCTTCCTGCTCAGTTAAACTTTTAGGAAACACCCTCAGGTGAGTTTTCATAGCAATTCTAAACCCCATCCACACAGTTAGCATCACACCAACCTAGACACCAAAAATAGAGTAGTGAGTGCATTGTTGGTTGGAGGTGGGATGAGGTGCAAGGTTTTGGCAAAAGAGATCCAGTATCTGTCAACTAACCAGACTCCAATCACCTAAGGGAGAAGTCTCTGGGAATTCAGGAGAGTGAGTTTCTGGGTTACACTAAGGTAGGACTGTGTGATGTTTGAATCCTTGGATACTAGAAAATGCAGCTAGCTCTCACCTGTGAGGATTTCATCACCTGGATTGCTAGGGGTCTAAAAGATCAAATACTTGGAGGTACTTAATGCATTTGGCCACAGCCTTGATTTACCTCCAGCTCCAGTGAAAATACCCACTGCTCTCTGGGTGTTGAGAACCATTTAGGAAGCTGGGCCTGATGGAGCACACATTTAATTCGAGTTGTTCTTAGGCAGATACAGAGCTCAGAGAGTTCTAGACTAACCTGGTCTACAGAGTTCCTGGACATCCAGTGTCTCACAGAGAAACCGTGTCTAGAAAAACAAAACAAAAACCAACAAAACTAAACCAAACCAAAGAGCCACTTACATGATGGTTAACCTTGTCACCTTGGTGTGCTTTAGACCCATCAAGGAAACACACTTTCAGGTGTTCTGAAAAGCGTAATCAGGCACGAAATCCGCTCTGAATGTGGAGGCACTGTGTCCCAGGCTGAAGTCATCTGCCCATGTGCTGCAGTCATCTGCTGAACAAGAGAGGTAATGCAAACTCAGCACCACCTTGCTTTTTCCTGCCTGTGCACAGCCTGACCAGTTGTTTCTCTCTCTTGCCACCATGTCATCCCTTCCATGGTGGACAATATGCCCTTGAATTGAGACAAAGACTGTTTCACGGGTCAGTTGCTTCTCTCGGGGTGTTTCATCAGAGCATCAGTTACTGATGTCACAGGGATGAGGCAGAAGAATGCAGGGTTTGTTCATGTCATTAAAGGAATGCTACTCTCTTGGGCAGAGAGCGGGATCTGAGTTTGACCTCAGACCTGGGGAGAACCCGGTCATAGTGATCTGTACCAAGGATTAGAGTATGGTGTTGAACTATTTCCTTACCTTGTGAGTTTATCATCTGCCCCTGTCAGTCACCTGGCAAAGGAGACCACCCCTCAGCAAGTTGGTTCACCTGAGGACTCTCTCAGGTGATGGGAAGAGTGATTAACCCCTTCAGGAGAAGACGTTCCTATACTTCCCTCCTACCAGCTGCTTAGTGATCTTCACTGCCAAACCTGCCTATTGCCTGAATCTAACTCATGATTGTATATGTCTGTGGCATCTGCACCACAAGCAAGCCCGAGGTATCGGGAAATGAAAGACAAGACGTCCAACTGTTTGTGCCAGGAGAATGCGTGTCTTTATTGTAAGGAGAAGAGAATGCCTGTGTGTATGTCTGTGTGCATGCATGTCTGCTGAGGTGTCTACTGTGTGTCTGCTGGTGTGTATCTTGTGAGCAGCCTTATACACAGGCTTACAGCGCAGTGGAAAAACCCCAGGTGTAAGAGCTCATGTTCTCCTCATGCTAGATGTTGATGTCAGGTGGTCAAGGCCGGGGCTGTAAGCCAGGACTAGACAACAGGATGCACTGGACAAGCAAGGCGCAGAGATCCACAGGGACTGGAGCCCAACGTATTTCCTTTTCCCTCTTTCTCCCTTTGATACCCGTGTGAACCCTAAATGTGCCTGCTGCCACACTCTGGGGTCTTTGCCCTTTGACTCTGTAGACCCTGCCTGCCTCTTTCTGTGATGCCTTCAGACCTCCATTGCTGACCCTAACTCTAAGGGCATGGCGTTCTCTCATTATCTCCTCCCTTTTCTGGGTCCTGATGGGATGTAGAGCTTGCCTGTGTTCCTCTCACACTGTAATGAAAGGGTAGAGGGGCTTCCTTATGAATTTCTTCAGAATTCTAGTCAATGTGTGTCATCTCTGGGGAAGGCTGGGAAGGATCCTGAGCAGCTGTGTCTGCAGAGGCCTCATGGCTGAGTCCACGTAGAATTCTAGTCAATGTGTGTCATCTCTGGGGAAGGCTGGGAAGGATCCTGAGCAGCTGTGTCTGCAGAGGCTTCATGGCTGAGTCCACGTGCAGTGATGTGGAGAGGGTGGACACGGAAGGCCCAGAGCCTCACTACCCTGGGATATCTTCATTCTACTGAAGAGCCAATCCTTTCCTCCCCCACATGTCCCGGTGATCATCTTGTCACTAACAGATGAAACAGGACCTAATACCCCAGTAGATTTCTAAATAGTTTATAATGTACTAGGTGTGAAATCCCAGCTTCATAAATCAAAGGCTTTAGAATCTCCCAGGTGACATCTGAGACCAATAGGAGAGATTTCTCAGCTTTGCTAAAACCATCCACTCGTGTTTCTAGCCATGCATACACTTTCTTTTTACAAATTTATCAAAACCTTGTCTTGATTTAAGATTTGCTTTCTTCTGTTACCATACAAATGTCAAGAAACTACTTCCATGATGAAATGCAGAATTAGAAGTAGCATAAATCTGCTTCCAGACCATGGTCACTCACATGTGGCTCCAGAATAAACTATCTTTTATTCCCTTTGAGGTCTGAGCTGTGTTTCTGTATCAACAAAAAGAACTCCACCTCCCCCACTACCATGTGTCCTTCTTCAATCTTCGTTCATGACACGAACACCTGAACAATGCGTCTTGGGACCTTATGATACCTGCTCAACTAATAATCTCATGACTCACAAGGAAACTGCATCTTGCTTACAAACAACTCTTCACTGGGATCTATTCAAGAAACTGAAGAAAAATAAAAGAACCATGTTAAGTAGAAGACAAAGGTTCTACCATTGAGTTAAGCCACATTATGTCTTTGGTTTCTTTTTTAATCTTTTGTTAATATTTATGTTTAAAATTTTTAACTATGCAATTGTATCTGTGAGTCAGCAAGAGGGAATGCCAGGGGAGGCCAGGAGAGGGTGATGGATTTCCCTGGAGCTGAATACACAGGTGTTTATGAACTCCCTGAAGTGGGTCCTGGAAACCCAAAGATGGTATTTGTAAATAGCAGCAGGTGCTCTTAATTACTGAGCCAACTCTTTATTCCCTAATTTTGTTGTTTTAACATTTTAAATTATAATTATACAATTTCCCTTTTCTCACTTCAGCTCTTTCTATGTATGCACCCCAGGTTAATCTCAAATTCATTGCTTCTTTCTTCATAATTGTTTCATATATACATATATAGATACATATATAGGTATAAACACATCCACACAAGTGTGTGTGTGTGTGTATGTGTGTGTGTAGATGCTGAATATATAAATACAATGTGCAGAGTCTATGCAGTATTACTTGCGTATATATGATTTCAGGTCTGCCCAGCTGGAATTGTATAACAAATTAGGAGGCTTAAGCTTTCGTGTGACTAATTCTCTCTCTCTCAGCTGTCCTTACTTAACAGCAGTTTTTAGCTAGGAGAGGGGCACCATGAGATTTGTCCCTTCCAGGATAGTAAGTCTATTGTGACTGTACTCTTTCATATTCGAACCGTGTTGTGGAGGTGTCCTGGATGTAGGTTCCTGATCCTTTACAGGAAACCCAATCTGATCTCACAGTTCATTTGCTGGTCCTCTGGCTTTGGAAATAATTGTGCCCTCTCATCTAAGTTTCCTGAACCTGGGGTACAGCAGTTGTGTTATAGATTTATCCACAGGGTCTCAATACCCCACACTCAGTTATTGTCTATTTTGACCAATTGTGTAAGACTGCCTTTCTGGTGCCAAGTGAAACTTGTTTGATGTGGGTGACAGCTGTTCTGATCTTCTGGTTCTATGACATTTTGTAACTTTTTTTTTCCATTTGACTTATTTTGAGTGAGGGGAAAGGGAAATGCTTTGGTACAGGAGTGGAGTTCAAAAAGATTCTGGTCTCTCCAGATCATGGCTTCCCAGGGATGGAAGTCACCTCATTAGGCTTGGGACAAATGCTAAATCTTAACTCTTTTGAGAGAGGGTGAAAGTCCGTAGTGGATGGAAACTATCTGAAGAACAGGCTAACCTCAAACTCCCAGCACTTCTGCCTCAGCCTCCTGGGGTGAAAGATGTGAGCCAGACACTGTTTGTTTTGTATTTTGATAGTGTAAGTTCAGCATGAGCACAAGACTGCAATCCCACCTACATGGAGGCTGAGGGAGCAGAGTCTCAAGTTCGAGGGGACCCTGGAGAGACCTTAACTCAAAATGAAAAGCACACACTGGGTTCAGGGAGAGAGCCCTGGCTTAGCGTGGGAAGGGTTCTAGATTCCATTCCAGGCCCTAGGCTTTGAAAAGAAAAAGAAGTAAAGCCTTGAAAGGACAAGGAAATGTATTTGGAGTAATGCAGAGTATGTGGGAAGGTATGGAGGGAGGAAAGAAAAATATCATAGTTGTATAACTTTGTTATAATCTCACAAAAATAAAAAAGAAAGCTTAAGACACAGTTAAGTGTGGAGAACATCCAAAACAGGTTAAGCTTTCTTGGGTTCTGTCCCCAGTTGAAAAAAAAACTTTCAAGGAAAAAGAAAAAGGTTGGCTGCTGTGTGTTGCTTGGTATTTTGATGGCTGTGCATATGTGTGGCTATGCATTCCACCTACAGGTCCAAGAAAATGAAATAATAATAATAATAATAATCAAATAACAGGATCTAGGGATTGTTGTATTTGTTGGTTTGCATTTTATTTTTCATTTGAATCCTTTTTAGCTTATGCGCTCTGGCGTATCAGGTGTATGCCCTACGACTGATTTAGGCCCCTAGTGTTGTAATTTTAAAAAGCAGCACATGAGAGAAAGATGCCATGGGACAGAGCTTGGGTGGAGGGGCTTTTTTAATTGGGGAAAGGTGAATGATAAAAATGGAGAGGGGATATTAGCCTTTGAAAACAGATGTGACAGGGGAGAAGAGAGAGGCAGAGATAGAAAGAAAGGGGGAGAGAGAAGGAGAGACAGAGAGACAGGCAGCGAAGCAGAGAGAGGGGAAGAGAAAAGGATGTGAGGTGGACCAGGCCTCTGTAAAAGGGAACGTAGTGAGTGTGCACAGGTGGTGCTCTTAGTGGCTGCAGCTGAGGGCATGTCCTGTCAGAACCCCAGGGCAGGGCAGGACAGATGCCTGAATACTAACTGCCAGCTCTTTATTTAATTTTAAGAAAAGGTTTCACTGTGTAACTTTGACTGGCCAGGAACTGGTTATATAGATGAGTCTGATATTCAACACACTAGATTCACCTATCTCCTGAGGGCTTGCTTGTATTAAAGGCATGGGCCATATTGGCCAGCAATACGTTGATTCATCTTGAGGCAGGCTCTTTCTACATGCCCAGGCTGATATGAAGCTCAGGCTGTGTATGAATCTGTGATCCTCCTGCCTCTGTCTCCAGAGTAGCTGGGATTGCTATTCTGTACATCAGGTGTGGCTACCTACCTGACTTTAGCATCACGCTGACCCTCACATGATCCTGATGTAGTTCAAAGGGCTGAGTGTGTTGCCTGGGGCTCTGGATCTTCAAAGCAATAGAACACTATGGGAGAACCCTTTCTGGAAAGGCAGAGGATGCAGGGGCTCACCACCATGGTGGCAGGACAGCATCCTTCTCCTGTTTGATTCTCAACTCCAGGCTCTATATCCACCTTAGTGGTTTCTAGTCTTGGAACACCCAATACCCTGGTGTGGATGCCAAAATATATTCTGGTTTGGGTCCCAGCCTCAGTTGCAGCCTGTGACCCGGGCTTAAAGAATAGTTATAAATAAACTGGGCGTTGAGGCTCACTCCTATAATCTCATCACACAGGAGCTTGGGGAAAGACAATGGGGCCTGGTGTCTGCTACATATTTAGTTTTAGTCGATTGGGGTACATAAAGGCCCTGTCTAGAAAGAAAACTTTCACAATATGCAAAGACAAAAAAGAAGAAAGGCAGGTAGGATCGTTTGTGCTGTGAACACATAGAAGAGTCCTTGGATTTTACCATAGTCTCAGTTCATTCCCTTTCCTGCTAGTAGAGGAGCTGATCTACACAGGCACCTGCCCATTAGGACGGAGTAAGAGGATGGAGACTTAATCATTGGATCCAGCTGTAGCTACAGGTGGAGCTGGAACAGCAAAGGGGAGGAGTGAGGAGGAAGGTGCATAAAAGCTTGTGAGGCGCCAGAGAAGATACCTGGAGTTCCAGAGCCTTGAGCCGATTGCTGACTCTGTTGGAGTAGGAACCCTGTCACCTCTGGTAAGTTACACACCTCAACACCCGGATCAGCCACTCCCTGCTGAGGACAATGGACCCACGATGGGCAGCACACTAGAGTTCCTGTCTCCTCATCTGCAGATTAGAGGTTGGTTTTCAAGCCAAATGCACTTTAACTCAAATGCTGTGTTCTCCTCTGATAATTTCTGATCTTTTTATGCAGAGCCAGTGTTCTGATATGTTGCCCAGATTGTCCTGGAGCTGGCTGGTTGGAACCTGCAGTCCTCATGACTGTCTCCTGAATGCTGGAGTTATTAGCATGTATCACCAAAGCCAGGCTCAGTTCCCAGGGGCTGACTTTATAGGCTAACTCAAGTATCTTTTAGAGGTTTTTGATTGATTTCATTTTAACATTTCTGGCTATGTTTCTTGTTATGTCCTGCTTTATGAAACATGTTTTCCAGGAACCCAGGCTAGTGTGGAACTTCATGTGTATTTCAGAAAACCTTCAGCGGTGGCCCTTCTGCCTCTATCTCTGAGGGATGGGACAGGAAGTTTAAGCATTGACCTCTTTGCAGGGTGTGGTGATGGAGAGTGCCCAAGGCCTCCTGCCATCTAGAAAATATCCAGACACTTGCCTACATCACCAGCATCTTGGTTTAGATGTTTGTTTCTTTTACATCTGTTAATTTGCAGAGAATATGCATCCAATGAGGGAAAATGAGACATTCTGGAGAGTTGGAGTGCTCAAAGAGAATTACCTTAAAATTTCTGGAAGAGGAAGTTTTCCCTTGTCAGTAATAAGAGAAATTACTATTGGAATGGAATTTATTTTCAGATGTATGTGGAGTGGTTGTGTCGGTATTTTTATGCTAACTTAACACAGGCTGGATTTTTCCGAGAAGAGGGAATACTGAATTATAAAAAGCCTCCATTAGTTTGGGCTCTAGTTTTTTTTTTGTTCTTGTTGTTGTTGCTGTTTTTGTTTTTGGAGACAGTGTTTCTTTATGAAACAAACCTAGCTGTCCTGGAACTCACTCTATAGACCCGCCAGCTTCAAACTAAGAGATCTGCCTGTCTCTGCCTCTCATGTTCTGGGGTTAAAGTGGCAGCCACCAACACCTGAATTGTAGGTATCTTTAAATTAGCGATTGACGGGGAGGGTAGGACCATTGTGGATGGTGTTTCCCCTGGGCTGGTGGTCCAGGTTTTACCACAGCAATGGAAACCCTAAGACAGAATTTGGTTCCTGTGTATTGGCATATTTCTTGAAAGACCGGATCTTGATTTGGGGAGGATTGTAAAGGGAATTTGAAACTTTGGGCTAGAAAAGTCACTGAGTGTGGAGAGCTCAGTGGAGTGATCTGTGGCAACTTGGAAAATAAGAACTTTGAGAGCAGTGCAAATGATAGTCCTGACTTGTGAAGTTTCAGAGGGAAGTGAAGACTCTACTGGGCTATTTGAGTAAGATTGTGCTTCTGGTTTTAGCCGGGACCAATGAATCAGTTGTAATTAACAAGATACCAGAATAACTAAAATAACTAAACACAAATGTTGCTTTGCTGGTCAGCTGGGGCTGAAGGATCAGCTGAGATTTAGAAGGGGCCAGCATAATTGAGACAATCTTCTGGGAAGTGTTTCCTCAAGGTACATGTGTGCTTCATGCTGGCAGCTGAACTTGTAGTGCAGGAATCACCCAGGTGGGACTGGTTTTGATGGCCTGAAGGGGTCATGGAGAGCAGCTGAGGCTTGCCACTGGACAGGGCTGGAGATAGAACGCTTTGGAGAAGCTACTGGTGAAAGAGCAGCCCAGTGGCAGCAAGAGCCCGGGCATTTGGGAGATGCCGGTGCAATGGGATGACTTCCAAGAACCTCAGTAGCAGTAGAGCTGGCCTGAGTCTAGAAGAGAAACTTGCTGCAGAGGGCAGAACTGAGGAGTCACCCCGGTCCTTGGGATGAGCCTAGAAGAGGGAGTGGATCCAGATCTTGGACATGGAGTTATTTTCAGTGTTGCAGTTGGGTTTGGTTTTGATTTGACTGTGTGCTTGTTATTTACTCTTGAAATAAAGTATTTAATTTTGATTTTTACAGGAGTCCACAGTTGACAGACTTTGAATGTTTAAAAGATTTTGTGTTTAAGGAAATTTTTTTAAAATACTCATTTCTCTCCAGAAAAGGATAGGCTTAGCATTGATATCACTCAAATATGGCATATCAAGGTGCAGTAAGACTAGGACTTCCCCTTGAATTAAGGCTTGAAGAGACAGCCCAGTATGAGAAAAAGGGTCCCAATAGCAGTCGGAAAAAGCCCCAGCTCCCACTATTAGAGGTCTCATAAAAAGAACAACCTATACCACTGTCACATATTGACGAGGGCCTTGGTCACTCCCATGCAGGCTTCCTGTAACTTCTCAGTGAGCCCCTATGAGCCCCGGTTATTTGATTCTGAGGGTTTTAGTGTGGTGTTTTGATCCCTCAGGATTTCTGCAGCTCTGCCTAATGTTTGGCTACCAGTCTCTGCATCTGCTACCTTAAGTTGCTTCATAAAGTCGCTCTAATGACAACTGGGGTAGGTACCCATCTAAGAATATAGCAGAATATCATTAGGAATCATTTCATTGAATTTTTTCCCTGCGGTGTTTTGTTCTAACTTGGGTCTCTGGGATTTCCCACCTCTGGTTCCTGACCTTCCAGGAAGTTTGGGGGGGGGGCTTCCTCTCATGGCTCACAATTTCTGAGCCACCTTTACCCCGCACATCTTGTAGGCAGAGCAAATGGTATTCTGAAAATTGTTGTTGGGTGGTGTCTTAATCCCTCTACTGGGAGCCTTGTATAGTTACAGGAGGGGGCCAGCCCAGGCTCTGCATCCCCCATTGCTAGGAGTCTTAGCTAGGGTCACACTGAGTTCTGGGAGTTTCCGTTGCACTAGGTTTCTAGTTGGTCCCTGAGATGCTCCTCAATTCCCAGTGTCTCTTCCATTACTGAGAAGTGGATGAGGGCAGGGAGAGGTGGGGTTGGGGAAGAGGATTGAGGGTAAACATCAGTGAGGATGCAAAAAACAATAAAAATAGAATGCCAATTAAAAAAAACCACTGACTTGTCAACGGTGAGCAAACCAGTGGAAAATCATGGTTTGAAGAGGCCCAAACTGCTCTAAAGTGCTGTGAAGATCTGTGGAGTTCACTTCCTGCTTTCTGGACTCCACCTCAATGCCCTCATCCACTGTTAAACAATTTAAAAGGCTTCCCAGTGGACTTCAGTCACACTGGGTTTCAAGCTCTCACTGTAATTCCAGCCCTTGTGAGGACTAGGCAGGAGGCTAAAGTTCAAGGCCTCTTTGCTACATAGTGAGTAGAAGGCAAGCCTAGTCTACATAACATTGTCTCAACACATAACAAACCCAATAAATCTAAAACATCTCTTCTGACTATATATCCCAAGCCCATTTTCTCTCCCCAACTCCACTTCCCCCCCCAACACACACAACTCCCATCTTTTCCAGATCCACTCCCTCTGGTTTGTTTTGTTTTTTCTTCAGAAGAACAGATCTCAAAGATAACAGCCAGACAGGACAAAAAAGACTCAAGAAATGCTGAAAGACCTCATGGAGGTTGGATAAAGCAACCCAATAGGAAAAGGAGACCTGACATTATTTTACTTTACACACCAATCCCATTTCCCCTTCCCTCCCCTTTTCTGTTCCTTCCACTTTCCCCACCCCACCACACAACTTTTCCTCAGGGTAAGGCCTCCCATGGGTCAGCTGAATTCTTTCCCATCTCTACTTTGAGGCCAGATCAAGGGCCTCCCATGTCTAGACTGAGAAAGATACCCCTTCATAGGAAATGAGGCCTGATACTATTAAAAGATAAACTCTTAATGTGTCTGCATTTGTAAACTACGGGACTTTTAACATTCATGATTTATATTGATTTATATGTGTGATATGTATTAATCTGAAATCTTGAATGAATCCACACAACTTGGCCTCCATACTAAAAAAGGAAAGGTTTATCTTAAAACAGTTATCCGTGTCAAGTAGACAAGAAGTCCATTGTGCTGGATCATTTGTCAACTTGACACAAGCTAGAGTCATCCAAGAGGAGTGGGTTTTGAATGAGAAAATACTAGTATAAGATCCCACTGTAAGCAAGCCTGTGGAGCATTTTCTTAGTGATTAGTGAAAGAGGGTCCAGCCCATTGTGGGTGGCTCTATCTCTGGTCCAGAGGTCCTGGGTTCTACAGAAAGCAGGTTGAGTAGCCCATGGGAAGCAAGTCTGTGAGCAGCACCCCTCCATGGACCCTGCATCAGCTGCTCACTCCAGGTGGCTGCCCTGTTTGAGTTCCTGTCCTGACTTCCATTAATGATGGACTACCATGGGGAAGTGTAAGCCAAAAAAACCCTTTCCTCCTGAATTTACGTTTGGTCATGGTGTTGCACTGCGGCACTAGCAATCCTAACTTGACAGTGTGTATGTGTGATGTAAATGGTCTTGCCATATGGTTCCTAGTGACCTAGAACTTGCTAGGTGGATCGTGCTATAATGACAAAGAAATCCACCTGTCTTCTACCTGAGTGCTAGGTTGAAAGTTGGGCTTCCAAGGTAGGGTACTCATTCTGCTTGCCAGTTTTTGTGCATATGTTTTGGGGTGTTCTCCAGTACCACACCTGGTCTGGAACTACTTACCCTCTCTTCACCCACATGCTGGAATGAGAGACCAGAGTCGCTGAGACTGAAAGGGTTTCCTTTGTTGTAACTTAGTTTGTAACCCTTTAGTGATACTTCCTGGACACTGGTTGTTTGTAAGGACTAACATTTTCTTGTATGTTTTTCTGAAGCTTCCCCAGGATCCACCCTGAGTGTTAGGAGGCTGGAGCTGGCAAAGAAGTGGGTACTGAAGGATGAGGAGGAACTGGGCATGGCGCTTTGGCCACCACTGTCCATGAAGCCTTCAGGGGCAGACTTGCTGTGAAGGCTATGGTTGGCAGCCTGGCATTTCCCCTACCTCCATGTGTGGACACTAACCAACCCCAGAAGGAAATCTGTGTTGCATGGACTGGATGTACTACTGAGAGAATATTCATCCCATGTAAGCAAGACCTAGGGTCACATGGAGGACACTGGGGTACATGGAGAGATCAGCGGTTGAGAGGTTGGAGATCAGAGGCCTTGACAGCATGAGCTGGGAAGACTGCAGAAGCTTTGAGCTCTAATGGAAAAAGAGTTGGTTGTGTGGGAGGAATAGCGATGTGGGCACAGTAGAAGGAGCCTGTCCCTTTCTCTGCCATGGGCATTAGTAGTAACAGGGCAAGAGTAACTGAATGGAGAGAAGCCATACAGAGGGCTACTGATGCAGGTCTCAGAGTCATTGCCTGGCTCCATGAGGACTTTGCTGGACACTCCACACTGGGGGAAAAATCCAAGCACTGCCAGCATCCAAATGGGAGAAAGGAAAAGTTGACTTCAGAGAGGTGGAAAGGCTGACTAAATTGTTTTTTTGGTGGACTGACTCTTCTATTTTACTCACAGGAGGTGAAAACTTGAACTACCCCATTTGCAGGATAAGCACCCTGACTTATGGGCTGCTCAGCAAAAAACAAACTAAGCAAGTAGGCAACCTGTGGATTGAATTGACTGCGATGCAATTCACAACTTTTCAAGTCTCATAAGTGGCAGAAGGGTTTGACACTGTAAATTTAGTAACAGACACAAATGTGGCAACATGTTCACTTCTCTCCCCATCTCCAGCATCTCTACATAAAAGATAACTCATGTCAAAGTCTGCATGAACAGTGGTGCACAGCAACCACTGAAAAGACCCATAAGATGGGTATAACTAATGAATAGAGGCAAAGGACAAGTGACATTTTTTCCTTTACTGCAAGAGGGGGCAGGTCTGGTGTGCTTGTCATGCCCACAGAATACATGACAAGATGCGCAGACTCTCAAGGCAAAGATGACCTTCTTGGGCATCCTTGTGGCTCTGGGTGTACCCATGAGTTCAGAACCAAATCGAAATCTCCCTCTGTAGACAAAACTGAGGGCACTCTAGAGGGGTCGGAGACCACTACAGAATAATTTTCAGGTACCCTATATGGTTCAGAATTTCACTAAGAGCATTCTTGGAGATTCTATTGCCAAGGAGATTGATGGCAATGACTAAGGGAGTACTGATGGACAGGCAGGAGAACACTGATCTGAAGGTCTGTCATCACAAGCCCAGAAAATCGGGTGTCTGCCGAGTTTCCCCAACATTACCTACCAACCTTTTGAAGAAGCCCAAGATGTGATGGTAATGGGACACCTAGCAATGTCCAGATATTTCAATTGCCAGAGGCTATGCCATCAGGTGCATTGAGACAGATGGGCACTCTAAATCATGCTGGAAGTAATAGAGAAGGTCTTCAAAGGATTCTTCCTTTTCTAGGCAAATGCCAAGAGGTTAGTGTGGGAAATGAGGTTGAGAACATTATTTACTACAGCATTGTCATTTTGCTTCTGTGTTTGCTGGTGACTCTGCCCTTTCCTCTTCCCAGAATTCTCCTAGTCTGCCTCTTGTGCTCAATCTCTTCCTGCCCAGCTACAGATCAATCAGCTTTTATTTAACAATGGGCATAGTCCACAGTATTTCCCCTTGTTCAAACCTCTTAGACATTACCCTAGTAAAATATATAAAATATAGTTAAGAACAGCCATGACACTATCCAATCCATTTGTATTTGACAAAGTTAGATAAAATACTCTATCAGACCTTGGTTAGTCTAATGTTTCACATCTAATACACCTTTTATCATAAGAAAAGTATGACTATCTGTCTTCAAATTCATCAAACCCCAGAATGTGAAATGCTACATTGAGGTGTCTGGCCAGTCCCCTAAAGTTCTCTGAAACAGTGGGACATCCAACTAGAATATCTGACAGACTTTCCTGTTAAGCAGGGAATTTTGAAAGACTGTCCTACCTTGTCTTGGCAAAGTTTCTACAGTTGCCTTTCTTGTGCCCTGCTGATCTAATTTGGACAGTAATTGTCACCCAATGAGACAAGGGCAGTTTCTTTTCCCAGTGGCTAAGTTTTCTACAAACAACTCTACATGGAGTTTCTTCAATGCCCATCTTCTTTGAAATAGATTGGTGCTGCCAGGAGATGTCTCACTGTCAATGAGAACTTTAGGTAATTAAACATTAAATGCCATATTCTGTAGGTCTTTGAGTGTTTTCAGATTATCTATCTGAAATCTTTGTATGACCTTAAATATAAGTAACATGACTAAGTTTATTATAGATGAATTAATTGTATGTCTTAATTATACATTTTTAACGTGCTACATAAGCATACCTTAAGCAAGAGTAGAAATATACCTACAATATAACATTAAGTTTGTAACAATGATCTAAAATTCATGTCATTGTAAAACATTGAAGATTGTTTTTTGTTTTTGGATTAAGGTAAATTCAATAATATACACTTTTATTTTTTCTATATCCTTTTATCATTTCTATATTCTCTCTTTATTTTTGGAATGAGATGCCTGAATCTTTTGTTTAGCTCTTTAACATAAATTTGTAACCAACCCGGCAAAACAATGGCAAACACTATTTTGGGGAATGTGGGTGTAGTTCTCCACACTACTTCATGTTGATGGAGTCGGCACTGGTAATCTTTGAAGGACCTTGAGAAAATTAGGATAATTGTTAGGTATTACCTAGAGTTTTGTGAAGTTAGATCATCTCAGTCATCCTGAGCTGTTTTGGATGATGGATTGTCAGAGCCTTTTTGGTTGGTGTCATGTCCCCTTGTTCTAAAAATAAACTTTTAAAGGTAATATGTATGTATTAATAAGATATACTGTGCACTATTAAATATTGAAAAGGTAACTTTTGTGTTTGAGCAAGGAAAATATACATATCTTCAAGTTCTTCTAGTTTTAATTTTGTTCTGATGTCAGCATTGCAGTTCTTCCTCAATCAAACCTGGATTTCTTAGATCTGGAAAGAATCCAGCCTCATTTCCTATGTAAATAAAAGCAAAATCTTTTCCCAAAAGTAATATATTTTGACTTAAATTTTGAAATAAAATATGTTTACAATATGTAGGTTGGATAAATCCAGCAGCACTTATAATCAACTGCCTCTTGGCAGCTGTTGCTCTTAGCAGTCAAACAATTCAAAGCCGATACAGTATCGTACAGTTGTCCAAACAATTTGTATTTTTTCATCTTGACTTTTTTACTCCCTTTCATGGGAAATTTATTAAACTGTTTTTCAGGACTGTCTATACCTTATGCTTTCTTCTAAGCCTATGGAGCTCTTCCCACCACTGTTCAGGACTTCTTAAATGGCAGACTAAGTTGGAGAAAGCATTGATTTCAGCCCAGAATTCCAGCCATCTCCCTATGGGATTGCTGGTAGGCCTCTCCTAGAGGGAAAGCCTCCAGACTGTACTGAATGGACTAGATGTCCTTCTGACATAGCAATTTCCCCCCATGTAATCAAGATTCATGTGGGGTCCTGTGGAGGAGACAGGGATACAGAGAGAGAGATCTGGGGTTGAGAGAATAGGGTCAGAGGTAGATGGGGGGGGGTGGTTCGTAGCATCAAGTTGGAAAGGACCACAGAAGCCTTGACTGCTATGTAGCTCTTATGGAAATGAACAGTTGGGTCTAGGGGAGGAATAGAGAAGATGTGGGAACAGTGGAAGAATGCTATCCCTCTCTCTCCCACAGGCACTAGTAGTACCTGGCCAAGAGTGAATGAAGGGAAGCAAGACGGAGGGCTATTGACCCAGTAGAAAAAGGGTCATGGTCTGGGACCATGAGAACATTGTTGGATACTCGGTGCTGGGGAAAAAAGCCAAACACTGCAAGACCAGATGGGGGAAAGTTAGAGTTGACGTTGGAGATGTTCAAAGGAGCTGACTAAGGGCAGGTATTGTCTACTGACATTTTGCCTGTCTTTCTTACAGGAGGTGGAACCTTTGAGTACTCAGTCTTTGGAATATGTAACATGACTTCTGGTATATATGAGAAGGAACCATGCTTGTGGCTGCTCCGGGTCACCTTTGAAGCCTATTCTGGAATCTACAAATGTGTCACAATTGAAGGTGGTAATTAACCTCCCTTTAGGAATCTTTCAGAATCCCCAAAAAACATGCTTTTTGGAGTGGACCTGGAGAGAGAAGGCAGCTTACAATTCTGCAGGAGGATGGGCATTCTTGTTGCCCTTCCATAGTATCAGGAGGCTGAGAGTTTTCCTGCCAGAGCACATGCATGAGTTGAAAGTCAGAATAAGTGGAGTCAGTCTAGTGTGGCACAATTTGCAACATCTCTGGGTCAGATGAAACATCTTAATGAACTTTCTCACAGGAGGATTGAGGGTTCACCATTATAGAGTAGCACACAGAAAAGCACCAGCATGTGCATTGCTCACGTGGGAGGGTCACACACTCCTTGGAATCCTGTCTAAGATACTGGTGATGGAAAGAGATGGCACAAAATGAGGAACAGAATGCCTGCATTGTTCCCCATGTGGTCTGCGCCCAGGTGGTGTGAACAGCCAGGTTGCTGCACCTAATGTCTCATGTGGAAAATGATCTGAGCCCAAGTGGGTGATGAGCAGATGGGTGATAGTTAACAGCAAAGCTGAAGGTCAGTGTCAGATGCAGACTGGGAAACACCATGGAGGTGGTGACAGGAGGCAGAGGGTGGTGACACATGCCAGAGATGTGCTGCAATGCCACCAGGAAATTCAGGGACCCTCTTGTGTGTGCTCTCTGGGCTGATGATAGACTACCCTGGATCTCTGGTGGCACTGAAAAGGGGTGCTGCAGAGCTGTGCACTGAGCCATCCCATAGTAATAGTGGTAGCTTGAATGGACAAAATCCAACAGGCAGCACCATAGACATTGACCTGAATCATTAATCTAACTGGCCTTGTAACACATAAATGCTCTCCAACTCCCATTTCCAAAACTAATCCTTTGGTCTCTGCCTAGAACTTGAAGACTCCTCTGAAGACTTGTCACTTCCTGCTGGGTCTATGGTGCCAACATGGGTTAATTTGCCCCCGCATTAGACCTCTGGCAACTACAGTATCTGGACATGGTTTGTGTGCAATTCCCATTGCATTTTGCCCTCTTCAAAGGTTGATGGCTAATGTTGCAGACACTCTTCATACTTTGGAGTTCTGTGGCTATGGGATGCCAAAGTCTCAGATCGTTGTCCTCCTACCTGCACTCCGCTATTGCTCCCAACTCATTGGCATCAATTTCTATGATAATGGAATCTCCAAGCATGTGAGTGAGGTTCTGGACCATGCAGGGAACCTGAGAAGGAGGATTCTGGAGCAGTACTCTGCCCCTCTGGAGTGTCATCATAACCAGTTTTGTGGGATTTCATCAAGCTTGCCTGAGCTCATGTGTACACTCAGGACCATAAAGAAGTCCCATGAAGTCACCTTTGCCTAAAGTGTCTGCACATCAAGTCATGTATGCAGTGTATGACAAGCTGACCTGATTTTGTCTCTTTGCAGTAAAGAGGAAAATGTCACTTGTCCTTTTTCCCTGGTCATTATGTTCCATCTATGGTATATCTTCCATCTACGTGCCTATACAGTTGTTGTGCATAAAATTGTTACACTGATAATAGACCCTCTAATGAAGGTTTTGGAGGAATTTACAATTAAATCTAGAACACTCAGGACTGGATCACAGTATAAACATCAAACATAGCTGAAGCATAAAGCAAAAGGAATACTGGGTAGACCATACTATCTGTCTCTTATGTTTTTCTTATATTCCAAGGTAACCTGTTAATCATGAAATTGTTTAATACTTTCGCTGTTTTTAATCATGTGTGGGTATGTTTTTACTTTATGTACTTTGGTGTTTTGTCTGTTTGAGGGCATCAGTGGGAATTGAACCTGGGTCCTCTGGAGGAGCGGCCAACGTTCTTAACCGCTGAGCCATCTCTCCAGCTCATATGTGTGGGTATGTTAATACTGGTGCAAGTGCCAAAAGCATAGGAGACTAAGGCATTAGATCTCTATACCTGGAGTGACAATTGTGTACAGCCTGACATGGGGCTAGGACCCAAACTTGTCTCCTCAGGAAGAGGTGTGCGTGCTGTTAAGGCCAAGCCCTCTCTACCTCCAGGCCTTGAAGTCTTGCATCTCTTATTGACTGATCCTCCGCCTCCTATGTTGCTAACATCACTTACAGGGACCAACATGTTGAGCCTCTGTGCAACATGGCTTTGAGGCCCCATTTTCTGGGCTCTTAAACTCAGCAGGGTAACGGTGTATATAGGTCTCTAATACAAAACAAACGTACTTCAACTATCCTAAAGCACTTGCTGGACCTAATACCTGTATTTTAACTCTTCGATTGTAATATACATCTTATTATAAAAGCCACGCAAGTAATTATACTTTTTATGGAGCTCACATAGTAAGAATATAAGATTTGTTCATGTTCCTTTTATTAAAATAGACTGGTGATCAATTTCTTTAGTGTCATTACTTCCGTAAAACATAAGATCTCTGCAAAGATCAGAAACATGGACAGAAGTGAATTCCATGGTAGTAACAATGGAAACATTCTGAAACAATGCCTACAAGAAACCATAACTTGGAATAATTCCAGATTAATTTCAAGCTGAGTATTACAGGCAGAGATGCACAGTGATCACAGCTATCTCTTCTGCTCCATGTTTTCAATTTTTCCCTCCAGCAGTCTGTCTCACGGACAGCATTCTGTTATGAAGGAGAGCACATGCTGTACCTGTGTAATGTTCTCCAGAACTTTGCTGAGCTATTCATCTGCAGAGGGGATGACCCCATAAGCAGGTTCTTCTGCTAGGGTCTCACGTGGGACTCTCCATCTCCATGTGCTGCCCAGTGAGATAATGGAATGACTCACAGCAGGGCCGTGGACTTTAACTACGTGGAGGGGGTCACATCTTCCAGAATGTCTGCCTGTCTCTAGAACCACCTTTGGTGTGAGGCCCTGGATCCAGATCATGGGGACCTGAGTCACTTGCTTACAGGGGGCGTCCCCTGATCTCCCTTCCATACATACTTCATTTTTGATAATCTGATGTAGTCTAACCTAGCCCGCACCCATGTATGTAGACAAGAACAGCTTGAATCCTATCCTTGATTTTATCACCCTTGATGCTGAGGGTAAATGTGTGGACCACCACACCCAGCGATGAGACAGCTTGATGTGGAACTTTATTCTTTTGTTCCCTGTTATTTGGAATTTGGGGCCAGAAAGCACCCTTGGTGCTGGAAGCTACTGACTGAAAAAGGAGGGATGAATTCAAAGGTCATTTAGATTCTTAGTGGAGACTGTACTTAATCCATTCCTCTATTTCCATCACATGGAAGGCAGAGGCAGGAGGATCAGAAGTACTTGGCCATTATTACTACATAGGGAATTTAAGAGCAGACAGGAACACAAGACGTTCTCATTAGCAGCTTAAAGCCCCAAAGGAGCCAGTGGAGAAGCTGACTCTGGATGGGGTGACCATCCGGGCTCTTGGAGACTGAGTGCTCTGCCATGCTGGTTCACATGTATCCGTACAGTGACCAAATAGGGAAACACCCAGTCCAGACATTTAGGCTGTCTCTAAGGCTAGCATACAGTCCAAGGTGATATGCTATTGTGAAAGGTGTTTCCCTGAATCTCTCTGTTCATTTGTCATCTTATAGAGGTAGGCAACTGATTATTGTAAACTTTGTGTTGATCTACTTTAGTAAAAGTGTTTAGTGTCTTACGGGTTTCCTGATGGAATTCTTTGGGCACTTATTGATATTGGGAGATATCGTTGAGTGGTTGTTTCCTGTTATTTTGTGCTGGTGTATGTGTGCATGGAGTGAGTGTATGTGTGAGTACCTGCAGGTGCACATGTATGTTTTCTCTTTCCCTGCCTAGTTTGTATTCATGTATTTTCTTGGCTGTGCTTAACCTCTTCAGGTAGAGTTTTCCTTCTAAAGCCTTCTGTAGGGGTGGATCTCAGGATAGACAGTACTGAAGTTTGGTTTTTTGGGATGTCTTATTTCCTCCATCTATTATGACTTAAGTTTGGTTGGGTATAGTATCCTGGGCTGTCATCTGTCCCGGCCCTTCTGGGTTGAGAGTTTCCATTGATAAGTCTTTGTTCTCTTTGATCTTTCCCCTGGAAGATCCAGTTCTTCATTTCCCAGCAAAAGAAGCAGTGCTGCACATTGGATGGAGGGGGAAACATCAACCATGAGAAGCCCGACATCTTCTGCAAAGGCCACTCTGCCTTCTGAATCCTGACACCACCTCTGTGTCCATGCAGTCTTCACCACAGATACTGACCTTCAAACTCGCTGTCCTCCAGTTCCCATCTGCTCACCTTCTAGCTGGGAATTAATTACACATGAGGAATTAGAGGCAAAATGGTGGTTGCTCACATGGATCTGAGCACAGAGCTCACCTGACGACATATAACAAGGAGTCCTTCCCTCCCATGTGCCCTCGTTTCCTTCACATTACATTGATTAGACAGAATTGCAAAAGGAACACACATCCCATCCACCATAGTTCTGTCCTGCCCACTTGGGCCTCTGACATGGTAGCTATGTATACGAATCCTATCACAGTTAATCCTCTGCTTCATGAGTTTTCACTTGTGACCTTGATTCAGTTATCATAGAAACAAGACCAGCCTTCATTATGCCAATGAATCTCACTGTTTCTGTCAGTGACTGAAAGACATCAGGTGCCAGCCAACCCTCAATGTAAAGGAGAAAGTTTTGATCTGGTTGAAGAAACAGCTCTCCAACCTTCCTTACCTGAGCAACTGTTTCATGTGGACACAGAAAGTAGACACCGTGAATGTAGAGGATTGAGTTTGGAGAGCTGAAAAAAATAGATTTGGGGATACAATTCTCTGTGCCTATTGATGTAGTTCCGGTCTTGGGGCTATAGTTGTAGATCATGCTAGAAGGATTTGAGATTATCTCATCTGGAGGCAGGGTCCAGAATTATCCTGGTTCTAACATTCCATATTATGTTCAGGTCCAAGTCTTCCTCAATCCTCCTCAGTGTGCTTTAATGGGGAAAACTCTAAGACCTTCGTGATAGTATGTAGTGCAACAACACAGCCTACATCTTTCATTGTATAGCTCATCTGTAGGAAGCTTTTTCTCTGATAGACCCATGTCAACATGCATATTAGGTATCCATCTAGATGGAACCTGAGTTAAAGCTCAGCTACCAAGTGGAAGCACTAGCTCAATGGATACATGAAAAGATTCTTCTCTACTTCTTTCTTACTCATTGTCTCTGCTGAGTAGTCCCCATCCTCTGTTCCAGCCAGAAGGCATGGTATACATTCATTGAGTACTGGAAGGTTGCACATACTGTGTGTAACAGGTGAAGTGTCAGCACACAGCCCTGAGTATACATCTCTAATGTCAGCTCTTCCATGCTATGACATCAATCTGGTCAACGTCTATAGTTTTGCAGCACTGAGTGTCAACGAGATATTGGTACAAGGCAATGGCTCTCTCTGAGCTGCATCAGTGCCCCTCTGTCTCACTTTCCTCCATTCAGTTACTCTGTTACAACTACTGCCTGTGGCAGAGACAGCCACAGGCTCCTTCCACTGTGCCCACATCTTCTCTGCTCCTTCCCCCTACCTAACTAACCTCCATCAGCGCTCCATAGAAATCAAGGCTTCATTACTCTTCCAAGCAGATGCTACCCAAGGTCTCTGATCTACCTCTGTCCCCATTATCTCCATCACAGATATCTCTTCCCTGTACCCCAGGATCCTTCATAAGACCCTACAAGGGTTTTGTTACTTAGGGTGAACCTTCTGTGTCAACAGAGCACCCATCCATCCAGAGGATCTGAAAGATCTCCAAGTTAAAAATGTTTATCTAGAACCCACAGGGAGGCAGGGAAAGGCCAGGCTGCAGTCATGCCTTCGCAATGACAGTGATTCTGTCAGTGAAGGCTGCCCAGAATCGTGCTGGGAAAAGCTCCATCGTCAGGATCTCTAGAGCAGAGACAACCAAAGCCTCATCCAGCAGCAGCATCTGCCTTGTCAGCTCCAGGAATGTGGGTGTGGTCTGGAAGATCATCTTGTTGGATCCAAGGAATCTTCCAGGAAAAGGCATCCAAGAAAGTGTTCATTTCTACAAACAAAAATCAGTATCCAGGAAGTATTCCTAAAGGTCACACATGGATTGAGGTACAAGGAAGCAAATCCACTTCAGACTTGGTGGCTCTGACCTCTCAACCCAGCATGGGGTGAGTGTGTCAAAAGCCAGAGGATAAGTAGTTCTAGACCAACTGTGGTATTGGAGAACACCTAAACACACACACACACACACACACACACACACACACACACACAGAATGATAGTGAGAAAGAGGGAGAAAGGAGGGAAAGGAAGAGATACTGGGAGATGAGGAAGAAAAGGAAAACTTCCAGGCCTGGTGGCATGTGCATTTCATCCTGGTACTTACACAGGAGGCATATGCAGGTGGATTTCTGTGTGTGAGTTCCACCCTTGTTTACATAGCCACTCTGGACTACATAAAAAGACCACTAAAAAAATCAGAAAGACCAAAGTAATTTCCAGTCCAACATCCAACAACCTTTCTCACTTGAAGCAATAAAGGAAACTTTCCTCTTTAAGAAAAGTTAGAGCCAGATGGTGCTAGTACATGCCTTTAATCCTAGCTCTTGGGAGGCTGAGGCAGGTGGATCTCTGAGTTTGAGGCCAGCATTGAGTACAGAGTGAATACCAGGACATTCATGGCTGTTACACAGAAAAACCCTGCCTCAACACACACACACACACACACACACACACACACACACACACACACACACAGACAGAGACAGAGACACAGAGACAGAGACAGAGACAGAGGCAGAAAGAGAGATGTTAGGGCATGTCTACCTTTGAAGGCTCTAATTCTGTAGACTATCTCATTTTCCCTTAATGAATCTATATAATATAGGTTAATAAAATAATTAAAAAATTTTTAAAGATGGATGATGTTCATATAGTTTTTGGAGAGCTTGCCTAGAATGAATGAGGTACTTGGTGTTCCATTGCCAGCATTGTGTAAGAGGACATAGGACTGAAACTTTGTGTCCCCAGCCTTAGGAGGTATAAGCAGAAAGATCACTGAATAGGTCATTTAAGATATACATGAAGTCCCAGGCTAGCCTGGGCAATTGTTTCAAAACAATAAAAACAAACAAGAGTCAGAAGTATTACAATGAAATTAACTATAAGTCACTAGATAATGTTTGAGTAACAGTCTGTAACATCAGCTACTAGGAGCTGAGGCTGGCTTTGATGACACATGCTAAAGACTCCAAAATTCAGGAGTCAGCATCAGGAGGATTGCAGAGTCCAACCAGTCTGAGCTATATGGTCATTTGCAGGCCAGTGTGGGCAACATAGCAAAACTCTACCTCAAAAACAAAACAATAACAAAAAGAACCA